CGTCAGCAAGTTCAGCCCTAGGCGCCTCTTCCGGACAAACGTCTATGTTGTTCACTCTATGCCTCCGAATATTGCCTCGCGATTCTTCCTCTCGTGCATAAGGAGGCGCGTTCCCTCATCTTGAGATGCCTACCCCTTGTGGCGCCACGAACTTTAGTGTTTGGTGACATGTGGAGGCTACTCCATTAAATTGCGCCAACAGGGGTCTGCCAAGTATCACGTTGTATGGCGAGGGATAATCAATAATTTCGAACTCCACCGCGTGCGTCACGCGATGCGCTTCATCACTAGTGTCACGGGAAGATGCACTCGGCCGATCACATGCGCGGGCGCCCCCGAGAAACCTATCAACACCGAGCTCGATGGAGTCACCAACTCAGGCGCTAATTGCATGCGCTCAAAAGTGCTTTTAAACAGCACATCCATCGAGCTTCCGGTGTCTACCAACATTCTCTTCACCTTGCACACCGCAATCACACCCTGTATCTCTAAGGCTTCCTCCGACAGAATTTGGCATGCCTCGTCCGCTCCTTGGTTTAAGTGTATTTGCACTGCCGCCTTTGTCTCCGAAGATGCAGCTCTTAGGCGCCTGGATCTATCCAGTTTGTCTCGAAGATCGATGGTGCCGGAGATTGACTCTACCGTGAGCCTAACACGATCGGGTGCTCTTTCTTGGTTCACCTCGAAAGGGGGCGGGGGTATATCGGGCACCTGCTCCACGATTGGCAAGGCCGGCGCCTACTGCACGTTTGGTAAGTCGGGCGCTTGTTTTATCTCTCTTGCTACATAAGTGCGGTGAATCCTTTCCTATGCCCTCTTCACAAAGTCTTTAAACATTCCTCGGTCGGCTAAGGTCTGCAACTCCGCTTTCAACTGATAGAAATCAGCGGTGTGATGTACTTTATCTCGATGGAAGTCGTAGTACCGGTCAAGATTTCGTTCATTCGGCTGCCCTCGCATTGGCCCTGGCCACCGCACGTGATATCCCCTTTCCTTCACGTATTGCAATATGTTTTTCAGCGTATCGTTATATTCCGAGAAGTTTGCTGCGCTCCTGGGTGGCGGGGGCTGCATGTCCGGCTTCCTCTAAGGGAAGTTATTCCCCACGTTTGGTTTGGGCGCCTGTCTCGCATCTACATCTTCCCCTTTGAGAGGCCTCTTTTCGGCCCTCCGCGCCGCCAATGTTTCCTCCAACATGATTACCTTCTGTACTCTTCAATCCAAGTCTTCGGTAGAAACAACGGCTCGCTTCGAGAGCACACTACATAATTCCTCACTACACGTGAATTCTTCAAGGCACACCCCCAACACTGGGGGTTGCTCGTCCTTGACCGCCATTACGACAAAGATCCACTGATCATAGAACTCCCTTAGCGCCTCATCGTCCCTTTGTTTTATCTTGAACAGGGCGCCTATAGTCAAGGTCCGGCGCTTCATACTCGCGAACTTGAATATAAACAGCTATGCAAACTGCTCGAAACAGTCGATGCACCTCTCCTCGATTTGGTGGTACCAGTCTAAGACCACTCCCGCGAATGTGGACGGGAACACCTTGCAAAGAGTGGCGTTCGAGCTATTGTATAGCTGTATCTTTGTGAAGTAACTATTTAAATGATCATCTTGGTTGGTGACTCCATCATAGCTCGGCAATGGTGGGATCGTCGTTCTCGCTGGCTCCATTAGGACGCTTCGCGCCAGGGGTTGTCTCACCCCAAAGCGCCTAGTTGGCCGGCTGGGCGCCCAAACGTTGCGCTCCTCCGGGCTGGTCATCACTGGCTCAGCAGGCGCCCTCCATGCATGTTAGCGCATGGGGGGGGCGTCATTTCATCACTTGGCCCCATGGAATATGGGTGCCCGTACTGACTAGACTCGGAGTCGTCTACTACTCTATCACGCTTTCTCACCGGCGGACTACACGTCATCATGTCCTAACTCTGTCCCTCTTCCAACTCCCTTCTCAACGTCGTTATGGCCTTGTCTTGATCAGCTATAATTCGGTACAACTCCCTTTTTGATGGGGAGTCGCTTTCTGTGGATGGGCGCCCTTGGCTACCCTCCCCTTCTACCTCCATGCTCAGATCTTGACTTGTTTGATGTTCACTCTCTGCTTGATTGGGCTCCCCGACCTTGACCAGTCTTCACCTCCATCTCCCTCGTTCATGCCTTCCATGCTCCTAGTTCTGCTCCCTTTTTGATGGGGAGTCGCTTTCTGTGGCTGGGCGCCCTTGGCTACCCTCCCCTTCTACCTCCATGCTCAGATCTCGACTTGTTTGATGCTCACTCTCTGCTTGATTGGGGCTCCCCGACCTTGACCCGTCTTCACCTCCATCTCCCTCGTTCATGCCTTCCATGCTCCTAGTTCTGTGCGCCCCCTATCTGGCGCGCCAATTGTTTAAGCCGAGATACCCTGGCCCCACCGGTCGAGATTGGGCCGGTCCAACTTGCAACACAGGCGCCAAGATCCTGCAAAGACAAGCGCCTAATGGGCTCCGGGATGCCTGTTAGCACTCCAACGCTCAAGTCAGTGCCAAATCTAGAGAGATAAGTGATACCCCAAGTTTTAGTGAGAGAAGCTCACCTGCGTAAATGCCACCTACCGAGCACTATTTATACTCATCGAAGCCGCAACCGTCCTCCTGGCATTCAGTTCCACGTCATCACTTCATTTAATGCTCGGTATGGTACAATAGTCAGGTGCCTGTACGTGGCAGCTCTAGGACGTTCCAAAAGAGGCGCCTAGCAGGGACCACGCCCGCCAAGTGGCTCCTTCCCGGCTTTCCTACTCCGTACCGTTTGTCCTCACCCCTTTTTGTCGTCATGCGCCTACTCTTCCTAATGTAACCCTAATTCACTTACTTGGGCCTACCTCCTCATTCCACCTCATGGGTTTGGCCCTGACCAATTTCATGTCCCCTGGGGCCTATTCACGCTAGCCCAACAGAAAACATTCATTTCATGCATTTCAAATGATTTATTATATTCATTATTATATATATCACATTTCTTAATAAAATTCTTCCGGCCAATGGGCCAGGCCTGTGCTAGTATAGTATTACATAAAATGGTGATGGTGAAACACGTGGGTAATTAAATCCTAGAATGAGATAGATATTGCATGGATCACGTAAGTACCTTCTGGACAGTTTCTCTGCCATTTTCTTCAGCAGCCAGGCAGTAGTGTACTAATTAAGAATCAAACATCCTCCATTGACTAAATAAATAAGAAGGAATATGACCAAAAAGAAAGAAGGAAGAGTAGTACTTACGGTTACGGGATAGGTGATGGTCATTAACGATAACCCAAGCTTAGTAATTAGTCTGGCTGGGCATAGCCTAGCACGTGAGAGAATGACTATTTGTGATCACTGCAACCAGTAGTACCATAGCACGTCGATCTTGCATTGGATATATAGTTGATCATCAGATAATAAAAAAATTTAATTATATGAATTATGATGAATTACGGTTGACCAAGATAATCCTGTGATTCATAAAGTGTATTCCTTCTCCTATTTTCTTGGTTTGCAAAAGCAGGAGAGGAAGATCTTAAACATTGCCTATTCACATGCTCTCGAAACGAGGCAAACAAACTTCAGGACGTTGCTTTCTACCCTCTCCTTGTGCTTCTTTGGTCATTTATTAATTTTATCCAAGAGAGCATCACAATCACTCTGTCACTAAACGTAATGAAACCTCTAAATCCATCACCAAATTATTCATCAAATCTATCAAGCAAATAAGTCCTTAAGAAATTTCACAAAATGGAATGGGATGACACCCTCTCCAATTCCATGTTTGTGGAGCCTTCACTCCTCAAAACTCGCTGTGATGGATTCTTTGTATCGAAATGATTGGTGACGAAATATATAGTTGTTTTGAATAACTAGTAACTTCCATAAACAAGTTGTTGCGAGTAATTATGATGCTTTCGTTTGTTTACCCACGATTGTTACGAAAGCTAACGCTTTTGTTAGTTGCTCTGAGACTATCACATAATTCAGGACTATCAACAATAATCTACTTGGATTGTCAAATCATCACCCAAGCCTTTCTTGTGCCCAGTTTTATGTGGCATTGACAAGTTATGAATTATGATGTGGATTCAGTGTATAGAAGAAATCTTTATGGTCAACTATGAAATGAAGTTGATATTCGCCGTGCATAGGGCGAGGATGATATATTGGGTTGCCAAAGAGAGTGATTCAGATTCGATCCATATTCTTGACTTAATTTCTCATCTCTTGTAATGACCTAACTTGTATCGGGATCATTATGAATAAAATGAACTTTTATACTTTATAGAAATTAAACACTTTCAGTTTAATAATACAAACAAATCCAACTTGAACCAACTTAATTGTAGACAAACTAAACATAACTTAGAACCAACTTAAATGCATGATGATCACTTCTCTTAACATTCTTTCGCAATTTTTATCAGAAAAAGGAAACATCTCGATCCACCTAACTTAGAAAAGTACCTCTAGGTACATCATATATCTATTTCTTTTTTCTTCGCGGGAAAAAAGAGAACGAAAGAGAAAGAAAAACCATATTCCCGGGAAAAGAAAGAAAACAGACCGGAAAAGAAATTGCAAATACGAAAGACAAGACAGCTACGAGCCTACGACAGCCTCCCTTCCTTCGATAGTTCGATCAGCCTACCTTTTCAAGTACTTTCACCACTTTTTAAGGAAAACTAAAAAAAAAGGTACAGGTTCTAAAACTGTTGAATGGTTACGCAGTGGGGATTTTGCACTCGAGTGGAGTGGAGTGGAGGGAAGTGGTGGTCCTGTGTAGAATCTAGACAACTAGATCAGAGGGACTAATTATAAACTATCTATCCAAAACCTCTCTGCAACTCTGTACCAAAACCACTTGCATAATTGCCATCCATAGATCACCCAAACCTAATATACATAATGCGCGATATGATTACTGTTCTCTTGAAGAGGTTTTAATTTTATTATATATCATTAATATTATCATCATCATTAAATAGAAAAGGAGAAAAAAAAAATGTGAAAAAGAAGTTAAAGAACAGTGTATTTGTTTAATAATAAAGTTTGGTTTTGGGTTTGGATTTGTCAACTCGAGCTGGCAATGCAGCGTCCGTCGACATCCTCTTTCTTCTCAGTCCTCCTTCTCCCCTGTTTGTTTGTTTGGAACAACTTGGTTGGTTGGTTGGCTCTTCTTCAAAATCAAGCAAAAAGTTAAAAATGGTTTAATAAGAGGGAATTGGATTGAGTAATGTAATCCCGATTTCCCACCACTGAGATTGAGAAGAGCTTTGTCCTCCTTCTCTGAAATGAAGAAATATTCCCAATATTACTAACTCCACTGGGAAAAAGCCAAATTGAGAGTCTCCTTCTGCTCATTCTCCTTTCACTCCGTCGGCGTCGTCATGTTTGGTGGAAAGCTCTTTGCTTTCCTGCTTACTGCCTCTACTTGCTTATGGCTGCTCCGCTTTGCCCGAGCAAAGCTTGTACAAGAAGAAGGTAAATTTGTTGGATTGATTTGCAGTTGGCTTCATCTTCTCTGTATCAATCCTGCTATGTAAGGTTTTTTTTTCTCCAGTTATTCATCTACTGAGTGTTTGGGTTTCAGTAGCCAGCCACCGGAAATCAAAGTCTCAAAATTTATGAATCTTGGGTCCTTGGTTTGCTTAGGTTAAACCCTAGGGAAGTCTGGTTGCAAGATTTAGAACAATACAGTCAAGATCGGGTTGGTCGTGTCCAGAAATAGGTTAAGAACAAGGAAGTAATCAGTGAAATAAGCATCCATAGGGTATTATCGTTCACATGCTAGAAGCCTGGAATAGATTTTGTTAGGCATGCAAATGTTCTTGTCAAATCAAGGAGGAAGGTCAGGAAATGGTTTCTCACCAGCTGTAGCAAGTCAAAGTTGACTACTTTTGGCATTTCTTGGCCTGCGTAACTTGCTTGATGCTTTGCTTGCAGTTGATGCCCTTGGAGAAATTGTAAGAGCAATGGGCTCAACGTATTGGCAGTTTGATGCTGATACCTGCCAAGTGGAAGCATTTGGGATGACCCAAGTCCCACCAAGGAACGCAGAGCACACTATTGAATGTACTTGCATCAATGGCAGCAATACGGATTGTCACGTCGTGAGGATGTATAACATATCCTTATCTCACAACTAAAAGGGTTTTCCTTAGCATTTTCATCTTATATCTTCACATGATCTGGTTTACTAATGCATTGGAGAAAAAAACCACAATCTGAACTCCTCGAATTCGCAGGGTGCTTAAGAATCACAATCTTCCTGGAATTCTTCCACCTCAGCTGGTGAAGCTTCCTTACCTCCAAGAAATGTAAGACCTTTGAGAACCTTTTGTAACCGGTCTACCAGCTATTCTGTAGGAGTTTCAGATGAGATTTTTTTATTTTCGTGTCAACTGTAGTGATTTTGCTTACAACTACCTCAACGGCTCTATCCCAAAAGAATGGGCATCAACGCGATTGACTTCAATGTGAGTCCCTCACCCCCCCCCCCCCCCCCCCCCCCCCCCCCCAAATTGGAAGTTTGCAAGGTCTAAATAATCTGAAATTGATCAGTTGGTTGTTACGTGCAGTTCTATTCTTGTAAACCGACTTTCAGGGGAGATCCCAAAGGAGTTGGCAAATATTACTACTCTCACATACTTGTATGTCTCACATTTCTCTTGCAAAAAAATGCTGTCTTGAATGTTCACTGTTTCTATATGCATTCCATTCCCTATTTCCTGGCTTGGAAAGTCTAACACTTTGTGTAGGTGTCTTGATGCAAACCAATTCTCTGGTGGTCTCGCTGCAGAGCTTGGGAAACTGGTCAACTTGGAAACACTGTATGCCATCTCAATTTTTCATAATCACGAGCCCTAAGAAGGAAGCGTATATATGGTGGCATGCTGATATAATTTTCCTCTTCACATTGTATTTTCAGAATGCTGTCTTCCAATAAGTTTACTGGACCATTGCCAATCTCGTTTGCAAGGATGACAAATTTAACTGATCTGTAAGTTTTGACAATGCCATCCATTTTTTTTTTTGACAAATGCCATCCATTTCAGTGAGCAGATATATCATTATTGTGTGAACCATAAACCTTTTTTTGTCTAGTGCAGCAGGATAAATGATAATAGCTTCAGTGGAGTCATTCCTAATTTCATACGGAATTGGACCAAACTCACCAGACTGTAAGATTCTTGTCTCTATTGATTCGTCCTCTGGTGCCTTATCCATGGTCTTGATTCTTATTTGAAATTCTGGATCATTAAAGAGAGATGCATGCAAGTGGGCTAGAGGGACCCATTCCACCAAGCATTTCAGAGCTGGCTAATCTATCCGAGCTGTAAGTGTATAGGCTACTGACGGCATGCCCGGTTTGATTGAATCAATTATATGTCTCTGGTTCTTTCATTACCTTCTGCTCACCGAAACATGCATACTAATACAGGAGAATCAGTGATGTAGCTGGACCCACTCAAGGCTTCCCCATGGTGACCAATGCCACAGGCATAGTAAGATTGTATGTAGAACTATCAGAACATTACATACTTTGTTTAATTTAATGTGGTAGTGATTCGATTATAACAATCCACTATGTTTATGTGTTTTAGGGTTTTGAGGAACTGCAACTTATCTGGGGAGCTCCCTGACTTTGTCTGGTCGATGCAGAACATGGAGATGTTGTAAGTTACCCCGGATGGTTTTATATCAATATGATGACTAGTTACCTCTGTGCATGTGCTAATTGTTACTGTATCATGACATGATATTCTTGGTTCTCAGGGATGTTAGTTTCAACAAGTTGACAGGAAAAATTCCGGCAACCATTACTGCGGATCGTTTGAGATTTGTGTAAGTTTAAACACTTAGCGTACTTCTTTTGTAGCATTTCCCCCCAACTTTTCCCAACTGAGATTGTTGTGGGGAGTGTTCAAGTTTTCATGACTTTTCATTTGGTTCTTTGTTGTATTGCTGATGTAGCTGCAAATATGTTTGATGTTCCTTTTGTTAGTTTCTTGACTGGCAACTTGCTAAGTGGAGTTGTTCCTGAATCAATCTTGAAGCAAGGAAGCAACATGTATGTATCTTTCATGCTGATGAAGCCACATAATGTGTTTGGTGTTCCTCTTGTTTGTCACCTTTTTTTTTTTTTTGTGTGCTTGCATGCAGCGACTTGTCTTACAATAACTTTGAGTTGCAAGGACCTGACCACCCTGTTTGTCGGGATACTATGTAAGGACCTGCAATCCCTTTATACTTAAAGATCAACTTTAGCTTACAACTATTGGAGCTATTTACACTATTACATTCTCCAGGAATCTTAACATAAACTTGTACCAGAGCTCTTCAGCCATAAACAGCACGTAAGATGGGTTTCTCTTAATTGATTTCCCTCTTTCTTTTGAAGGTCTGCTAAGTGGTAACCTAAGTACCTCAATTTTGTTATTTTTATTATGTTCTTTGTGACAGTAGGAGTAGTCTCCCATGCATGAAGACCTTTACTTGTCCTCGATGTAAGTACATATTTAAGCTTTCTTTTTCTTAGGCAATCTAGTTTCATTGAATGAATTACTAACAATGTGATTTTCTGCAGACTCGAATTGTTTGCATGTTAACAGTGGTGGAAAGGACTTGGCCATTACCGAAAACAAAACAACTGTACTATATGAAGGAGATGTACAAATTGTAGGTGGTACAGCAAAATATTTCCTAAATGAGGAGAGCTACTGGGGCTTTAGTAGCACAGGGGACTTTTTGGATGACAATGATTTCCAGAACACCCGTTATACCGTAGCTATACAATCATCATCCCTCCCCGAGTTGTACTTGACTGCCCGCATTGCCCCAATTTCTCTTACTTACTTCCACTACTGTTTAGAAAATGGGAACTACACGGTGAGGCTACACTTTGCTGAGATCGTATTCACTAATGACAGAACTTACGCTAGTCTTGGCAAGCGCATGTTCGACGTCTATGTTCAGGTAAGTAAGTGGCCAACGTGCATGAAGCTGTTGCAGATTTTGAACTTGTGGATGAACAGTAAAATGGTTTCTTGTTTTCAGGAAAAGCTAGTGTTGAAGGATTTCAATATTGAAGATAAGGCTGGTGGTGCTCAGAAGCCTTTAGTACAGCCAATCCCGAATGTCTATGTACCCAACAATATTCTTGAGATTCGTTTTAATTTTGCTGGCAAAGGAACAACAAGGGTTCCAGCTAGAGGAATATATGGTCCCATCATCTCAGCCATCTCTGTAGTTTCTGGTTAGTCAACCCTCTTCTTGTTCAGACACCTCTAAAAGATGACTACTCCTAGGTGATAGTAAGAAATTTAGGTTTTTCTGTGTTGTTAAATATATCAGAGTTTTTATTATGTTACCACAGATGATAAAATCTGCTCCAAACCCGATGGCGATAGAGGAAACAAGGGAACAATTTATGCTGTTGTTGGAGTACTTGGAGCATTAAGCCTTATATTTGTTGTTCTAGGCATTCTTTGGTGTAGAGGATACTTACCTGGAAAGTGCGGCAAAAGAAAAGGTGAACACTATCAGATTGAATTGGTGACTGTTGCCTTTCCTTAAGACAAAAAGAGAAACGAAAAAATTAAACAGATGGTGTGAGTTATTTCTTTTGGCAATTTCGGCTTTGGGCGTCATTTCTCCATCTCTTGTCTTCCTTGGTCAGGTACTAATGGAGCTGATTTGCCCAAGGGAACATTCTCCTTAAAACAAATTAGAGCAGCCACTGATGACTTCAATCCCAAAAATAAGATTGGAGAAGGTGGTTTTGGTCCTGTATACAAGGTATTCTCCCTCCCTTCAAATGTTTCCTCTATCATCCATCTAATTCCTTAAGTGGTACAATATATACACTTTCCCTTCTCATTAAGTTGGTGAGTTGAAATTTCAGGGTGTGTTACCTGATGGTACAATGATAGCAGTTAAGCAACTCTCATCGAAATCAAAACAAGGAAACCGTGAATTTTTAAACGAGATTGGAATGATTTCTTGTCTGAAACACCCGAATCTCGTCAGCTTGCATGGGTTTAGTGTGGAAGGAGATCAACTATTGCTTGTGTATGAATACATGGAAAACAATAGCCTCGCTCGGGTTTTATTTGGTGAGTCATTTCATAGTCTGTTGAAAGGAAAAGTGAAAGATCTCCAGCAAGTTGACTGACTAAGCTGGTCGATGATTTTTCTAGGCAGGGAAAACTGTGAGCTGAAGCTGGACTGGCCTACAAGGTTCAAGATATGTGTCGGGATAGCTAAAGGTCTGGCCTTTCTCCATGAAGAGTCAAGACTCAAGATCGTTCACAGAGACATCAAGGCCACCAACGTTCTTCTTGATGGGGACTTAAATCCGAAGATATCAGATTTTGGATTGGCTAGGCTTGACGAGGAAGAAAAAAGCCACATCAGCACCCGTGTGGCTGGAACAATGTAAGTCACAGACTACATCATTTGGCTTTCTGTTTCCTGATATCACCATCACACTGCTATGATCTAATTTCATGCTAATGCAGAGGCTACATGGCACCAGAATATGCACTGTGGGGCTACCTCACCTACAAAGCAGATGTTTACAGTTTTGGAGTTCTGACGTTGGAGATCGTTAGTGGCAAGAACAACAATGATTTTATGCCAAGCAACAATTGCGTTTGCCTCTTAGATTGGGTAACCCACTAAATGAACAAAAATGAGAAGAAGCTGGACTGAAAAAGTGTGTTTGATTCGTCTTTTCAGTTCGACTTTTAACTTTGTTTTTATCTGTGTACAGGCTTGCCATTTGCAGCAGAGTGGGAATGTGTCACCCATTATAGACCAGACATTGAGGTCAAGAGTAAAGCAGGAAGAAGCTGAGATTATGATCAAGGTAGGTCTGTTGTGTACAAATGCATCATCGACACTCAGACCAACAATGTCTGAGGTTGTGAACATGCTGGAAGGAAGAATGCCAGTTCCAGACACAGTCCCAGAACCGAGCAGTTACGCAGAAGACTTGAGGTTCAAGGCATTGAGAGACCTGCGGAGGGATGGGGAAGGGCACAGTAAAAGTCACAGTCATGGTTTGAGTCACAACTCAACCACTCTAAACACATTTAATTCCTCTTTGGATACATCGACCCAGGAGTTCTATGACATCAGTCCATCACCTATATCGAGAAGCTCGGTTTGAAGGATTCTGCTGCCATGCGATTCCCCTCAAGAATAAGCAAAGCGAGGGGAAGAACATAAATTGTAGAATGTCAAATGTAAATATTCATGTGCAGTGTTTGTTTACTGCCTTGGCGAGGGCATGGTGCATATTGCAGAGAACTTGAAAGTTGAACCATAGAGATAGACTTGTGTATAGATTTTTGTCTACATACTTCCAGTGACATTTGGGCTGTTGGGGAATTCTGTTATGGCGATTAAAAAGGGTAGATCTCTCTGGTGGTAGAACTTTGTACAAAAATTAGGCATCTCCTTCCCTAGTTTCATTCTTCATAATTTCATAGTACGCGCAAGGGGCTGCTCAAACTGTGACTACAGTCCATGACTGGTTATAGCCTCTATTGTAGGAAAAAGGAAAATTTCCCAAGTTACACATGTTTTTAAAAAAAATTCTCAAAATACACACGCTATGATAAAATTCCCAATCTACGCAAGTTTGGGTATTCACCGCGACAGAGCAAGGCAGTAATTGCATCACCGCATGAGAGGAGGGCGGTGAGTGGGCACTGATTGCATCACCGTTGTAGAGGAAGGCGGTGATAGCATCACCGCTTTAGAGAAAGGCGGTGAATGCTTCCTGCATTACAAGGCCGCGGTGAAGGCCTAACCTGCGTCGAAACTTTAAACAAACGTAACTTTGTGCTCAGTTATCCGATCGTAGCGAATTTTTTTTTATTCCGCATAACTTTTCGAGATCTTGCATGCCGCAAATAGCCGCGGGCGGTGTAGTATTGCCTACATCCCGAAAAAACGTCGTTTGCTACCCTGAATGAGCCTTTTTTCAATTTCGTCAAACTTTGAACGACCATAACTTTGTGCTCCACAATCTGAAAATCATGAAATTTTTTTTATTTCACATAACTTTTTAAAGACTACAATTTTTATCATAGTCCTTAAAAAGTTACGTGAATCCAAAGTTATGCGGAATCAAAAAAATTTTCACTACGATCGGATAACCGAGCACAAAGTTACATTTGTGTAAAGTTTCGACGCAGGTCAGCCCTTCACCGCGGCCTTGTAATGCGGTGAAGCATTCACCGCCTTTCTCTACGGCGGTGTTGCAATCACCGCCTTCCTTTACAGCGGTGATGCAATCACCGCCCTCCTCTCATGCGGTGATGCAATCACCGCTCTTCTTTCATGCGGTGATGCAATCACTACCTTGCTCTGCCGCGGTGAAGGCCCAAACATGCATAGATTGGAATTTTTTTTTCATAAAGTGTGTATTTTGAGAATTTTTTTAAAAACATGTGTAACTTGAGATTTTTTCCTCTATTTTATGCTTCCATGCTCTGATGTACTCTTCTAGCTTGGTTATACGATTTCTAAATGTTAATTCCCGTTTGTGTAGAAACATCTATTTGCTCAAACGAACCAAACCATCTAATGTTAGTAGTTATAAAATGTAAATGGATGATCAATTACCACAACCACAGCCCCTTACCAATCAACTCACACAATACAATCAAATACGAACTGAAAAAATTCATAAAAAGTAAAATGCAGACTCTAAAATTCTTAAGGGCCAAGCATGGGATGAGTTACCGTCACTTCCCCTAAGAGGGATGTGAGATTCACATCCAAGAGCAATTCGGGTATGAAAAAAAACCAAAATTTATTATTTATTTATTTTTGTATTAATTATAGATTGGGAATTAAAAATCCAAATTGAATACTTTTTTAATTTAAATCCTACAATTAATACGCTTATATCTCTCTCTCTTTCTTTTCCAGCAACCTCTTCACTCCGACCGCCAAACTTTCTCCGGCCGACGACTTTTTGCCGGTGAAATCCTCCCATCAGACTCGCTCCGGCCAACTGCAAAAAAACCACTCCGTCAGTGTGCTAGTGGTACTGATTTTCATCTAGTGATACGCTACCAGTAGTAGTGGTACGTACTAGTGGTAGTGGTACGCTACAAATACCACGAGTACCGCTACCAGTGAGTAGTGGTACGCTACCACTACTCACTGGTACCGCTACCAGTGAATAGTGGTACGATACCACTACCACTGGTAGCGTACCACTAGACAGAAATCAGTACCACTACTCACTGGTACCGCTACCACTAAGTATTGGTACGCTACCACTACCACAGGTAGCGTACCACTAGACAGAAATCAGTACCAATAGAGAATAACATAAAAAAAAAGATATGGAATCTGGAAAATCCCAGATCTGGAAAAAAATTAAGGAATGAGGAAAGGAGAAGGAAGGGGAGAGGTCGTTACCTCGCGGCGTCGCCAAAGGAGGACGGCGGGAGAGAGATGGCGGTGGCAAGAGTTGGAGGGAGGCGAGAGGGCTGCGATGGGGAGAGCGTTATGGCGCGACAGTGGTGGGAGGCAGAGGACGCGACGGCTGCGACGGGAGGGAGAGATGGCGCGGTGGCGACAGGAGGGAGAGACGACGATGGTGGCGACTGGTGACGGGAGAGGGTGGTGGCGGCGGCGGCTATGACGACAACGGGAGGGAGAGACAGAGAGCAGTTAGGGTTCTCGGGAGAGGGAAGAGAGAAGGGAGAGAGGAAGAGTTTTTTTTTAGGAAATCAGATTATATAGAAAATGAGAAAAGATCCTGTGTGGTAAGTTTTTCTCTTCCAAAAATACTCTTCATTTAATCTAAACCGTTAATTTGAAAAACTAAGAGAAAGTGGATCTAATGGCTACAAAGGAGGAAGCGAAAATTACAACCACTATGAGAGTTGTGACTCTATCTAAAGCCCGCCAAGCATCATTAAGCTATGCTGTGCTCTTTTTTGGAAGGTCACAAATAATCTTTCATCTTATAGTTAGCAGGCTTGCAGCAGGTGTGTCTTTTGCTCGATAGTGAGCTGACTTTCTGTCTATTTTCCCATTTCAAATCCGAAAGAAGTCATAGCAGATATTTATAAGCGACCGACCAAGTGTTTGCTTTCTTCCAAAAGAAGAGGAACAGTGCGGCAAGGCAACCTTAAAAACCTCCTTTGTATTGGTCAAACTCAGATGAATGGTAAATGAAACGCATATGGAAGTGGGACTTCTAAACTTGGTCGGTAGTTTTTGGTAGAACCATGTTGCAATTCTTTGACGTCACGTTACGCAAACATGGAAATGTGCAACTCTCGTCAAACCTTGAAATCTATACTATCTATTTATCTATCTATCTATACATAATATTATAGCAATTCAAAAGTAGTTTGTTGCCACATAAGCATTTGGAAAAATTACAAGCCGTCATGTTGGACATTTTTTATACAAACAAAAAAGTTAGTTAATGATCAATTAATGTAGAGCTATCTATCTTTTTTTAATATTTTCTTTTTATTTTAATGATTATTTATGTAGCTATCTCTATCTTCTTTTAATGTTTTTTTATTCAATAATTGTATTTTTCAATATATATGTAGCACCAGTATACTTATGTTTGGAGGGTGACATATATTGTAATGCTTAAAAAAAATATTTGATTAAATCTGATCAATTAGTTTTTCTTTTTCTTTTTATTAGAGCTTAATATATGTTATATTTTGATAAAAAAAATAAATTAAACACACAAATAAGTAATAGAATGTTTTAAAAACAAAATATAATGAAGGAAGTTTAGATAATCAACATTTAATAATCAATTGAATTTGAAAACCATAATATAGTACCTGATTGTACAAATGAAGACGATAAAGAAAGACAACTTTTCTTCTCTCTTATAATGCATGCTTCCATACCTTATTTTCTCTTACATTTGTTCATACTTCCCCTTATTTTTCTTAACAGTTTACATATTTCGGTCAAACGAAGGTGTTAATTACACTTTAAAATACATTAAACTCTTTATATTTATATATGTATATTATGACATACCTTGAGTAAGAAAATGATATCTAGACCTTCAATTGACTGGAGTTGCATATGGTATTATTCTCAAACCCTTTAAGATTAAAATCTAGGTCTTAAATTTATAAATCTCATACCTAAGATCAATTTAATTATAAACAAAAATCAATGGTCATGATTCGTTAAAATCTATGCAACAAATTACATGCACAATCTTAGGGGTTAAGCTCTATGATTTAGATAACTAAGACCTAGGGTTCACTCATCTAGGGTTAGGGTATAGTATCATGCCCACAAATCCGGTTAATTCGTGGTCCAGATAGCGTTTTCTTACTTAGAGTATAAGATCATGCTTAGATATTAACAATAGATGTGGCATTACAGCAAGAAAATGAAGATATTAGTATAATTAGTGGAATTTTTGTCTCAAAACAAACACCAAAGATAAATAAATTTAGCAAATGCATATTTGATAAGTTAGAAAATTATACAATAATGGCTCATGTTAAGATTAGAACTCTTGACAGTGTGTGAGTATCTTGGACCGAGATTCTAAACCAACATCTAAACAACGACCATGAGTTGAGGGTGAGTCTATATTACACTTCAGGAATTAACAATTGGTACATATTGTATAAGATATTAAATTGAGTGTCTTGATAGACAAATATGATCTTACACTAAGACAGTTACTTTCAATTGGGATGACCAAATTTACGTAATATTGAAGTACCTTTATAAAAAAAATTCTAACTAAGTCGTCGTCATCTGAGCAACATCATTGGTTGAGAGTTCGTCCAAACTCGAGATTCATTAAATGACATATATTGTATAAGACAAAAAAATTGAGTATCGTTATTGACAAATCTTGACATAAGATTCTATATGGGAGGTGATATATCTTTGTGACATGATTTATGATCACTGAATCGAAGCATCATAAGTAAATGTGCTAAGTATTGAGAATTTTTAATTTATATACGCACCGCATACTCACCAATAAATACAAATCTAAAAAATTTAGAAAATCCAAAATAATTTAAATATAGATAAATTGATTAATGTAAATGGTAAAATTAAACTCACCGGCCAACGAGCCGGGTAAAAAGCTAGTTACAATTACTCACCATCCAAAGTGATAAATTACAATTACGTTCTCTTTGTATTTATGTAACAACAGTTTGTCTGTTGCTCAATGCAAAAGTTTAACAAAAAACTTTAAAAAATTGAGGTGAACTGTTAAGTGGTAACTTTTCAAATAAGTGTTTTTTTTTGCGGAACCTGTAATTAAATCATTAATGGTGTTTGCTGCTATATCATTTAGCTTAATCCGATCAACTAAGTAAATTGGCGGTCGATCTAGCCAAACAATCTGCTCATCCCATCTCGTACGGGTGTGGGCCATAATGTGAGCAGCTTCATCAGCCTCCCTGTACACATGAGAGAAGCTTCCTCATCGCTCATCCACCGGTCAACGAATGTTCCGGCAAACTACTCCCAGCTCCGATCGGGAACAAGCCTGCTCTGTCAATAGTCGCACCAGCTGCAAACAATCCGTCGCCATGATTGGATTTTGGATGTTAAATTGTTGCGCCAGCTGAGCTCCCATCTCCAAAGCCATTGCCTCAGCCATATCCTACCATCTTCGCCGCTGCAAGCATTTTGGTCCCGCATTACCACTCCAATTCCGGTCTCTCCATCTTGTAGCAGCCCAACATCTGTGTTCACCATGACTCGACCTCTAGGAGGCTTGCACCACTTCTTCTCACAGGGAGGAGGCTGAGGTGGTGTACTCTTCTCTTGATAATGGCGATAACCCTCTAAGAAACACCTCGCCCTTTCCACGATCTCATCTTCCGCTGTCTTCTTACCGTTAAAAATTTGAGCATTACGCTCTTTCCAAAGAAACCATAACATCACACTCCACTCGGCAAACCTTTCCTCCCCCGCCTTCTCCCTCGCCTTCTTCATCCATTTCATCGTCGAACCCGTCCCGCAAAGGTCATACAGATCAACAAAGCTTGATTGCCGCCAAATTCTCGAGCCCCAAGAGCATTCCACAAAGGCGTTGTGTTGCGTTTCGCGGGCATCACATAATGGACACTTAACGGTCCACTTTTCACTCTTCTCACTAACTCGGTCCCAGTTGGTAGGATGTCTTGTGCGAATTTCCATAAAAAATGGCGCACCTTTGGCGGCACTTTCATGCCCCAAATCTTCTTCCAAAACCCTCCTTCATTCGACCCATGCACACCTTGTCGCAACATGGACTGCTCCAGCCAAACTCGGTACCCCTCCTTCATCGAAAACTCCCCATCAATAGAGTGCTGCCAAATCCATTCATCCCTCTCCCCTGACCGAACAGGGATCGCCCTTATAGCTTAGGCAATGTCAGCCGGGAAGCAACTTTTGAGTATGTTCATGTCCCATGCATCCTCATCCACATCAAGTAGGTCGCTCACCATCGCATCAACGGGGAGTCCTGTCGAGCCTGAATCCACAAAATGCCCTGGCAAAGACGGTATCCATTTATCTTTCCAAATTCATACCTGACTTCCATTGCCAATTCGCCAACGCAAACCAGCTCTTAAGACCTGCGCGCTTAAAAAACTACGCAAAAAAAAACTCGGCCTATACCCCAGCTCTACTTCCAAAATAGAGTCATGTTTATGGTACTTTGCTCGAAAAATTCGAGCTATAGGAGACTCTAGCTGCTGGATCAGGCGCCACAGTTGCTTCGCAAGGAAAGCCATATTAAGTCCTCTTAACTCTCTAATCCCCATTCCACCAATTTCTTTCGGGATCACAAGCTTCGCTCGTCTGATCCAAAGAGCTTTACGCTCCTCCCCACGTTGGCCCCACCAAAACCTCATTATCAAACTTTGTACTTCGTCAACTACCCCTTCCGGAACTTTGAAGACCGACATTGCGTAGTTAAGTTGAGGTTCCACGACCGATCTGATCAACACCTCTCTTGCCGCCACAGAAAGAGTTTTTTCCTTCCACCCCTTCAATTTTTTCCTAATTCGCTCCACAATGTCTGCAAACAGTTCTTTTTCGATCGGCCGGCCTTTGTCGCCAATCCGAGATACTTGTGATGTTTCTCCACTATCTTCATGCCCAGTATCACACCAATTTCCCAACTCTTGTGGTGTGATACGTTCTTGCTGAAAGACACGTCCGATTTTTGGAAACTTACCAGTTGTCCCGACTCTTTTTCATAGTCATGTAGGATTCCCTTCAAGGCCAAACTTGCCAGGACAGTAGCTCTAGCGAAGAAAATACTGTCATCGGCAAAGAACAGATGTTAAATGATCGGAGCTCCTTAGGCTGGTCGAAATCCATGAAGTCTGCCTTGATCAATCGCTTGTGAGGTATCTACGGATAACCCCTCCGCACACAGAAGGAACAGATAAGGCGAGAGCGGGTCTCCCTATCATATTCCTCTTCCCGGAGTAAAGACCTCTGATTAGTGCCCATTCACAAAGACAAAGTAAGAAACCGTAGTCACACACATCATGATGATCTTGACCCACTGATCAGCAAAGCCCATTCGCTTCATAATTCCTTCCAGAAAAGGCCACTCCACCTTGTCATAAGACTTCGCCATGTCAATCTTAGTAGCTAGGAACCCCATTTTACCTTTAGTTCTCTTACTCATCGTATGGAAGCACTCGAAGGCGGCCATAATATTGTCTGTGATGCACCGTTCCTGAACAAAAGCTTATTGGGTTGGCGAGACAACTTTATTCAGTAAAGTCTTCAATCGATTCGCCAACACCTTCGAGACCATCTTATAAATCACATTGCACAACGAAATAGGACGAAATTCTTTAGCCATACTCGACTCCTTCACTTTTGGTATCAAGGCAATAACCATATGATTAACCTCCTTCGGCATTACCCCCTCTTCAATAATCTACTTTACTATGATGTAAACATCGTCACCCACAATCTCCCAGTACTGCCTGTAGAACATAATCGATAGCCCATCCGGGCCTGGAGCTTTGCGCTTACCCATCTGTTTCAAAGCTTTAACCACTTCATCCCTCTCCACCGGTTGACTCGCTATGACACAACACCTAACAATGGCCAAGTGTGACCAATGGAAGGGACTGCAGTATAGTGGCTCAAGTAATAAATATCGAATCCACGGGTCTCTAGAGTTACTATTACTCAGCTTCAGTTCATTATTTAGCAAACCAGATTAATAAGGAAGAACTAAAACTACTCTAGCAAACTACAGTTAAAGTTAATCTAATTACAGGTTGGGAACTCACTTAGGTATGATTCCCCCTAGCCACTAGCCAGACTAGCGATTGATGATCTCTAACTTGTTTCACTTTCATTCACAATGCGGAGAATCCTTGATTAGACCTTGAGTCTCGACTAAAGGAACAAGGCCCTCTTGAGTCAATTGCCTAGAGGGACGTATCCTTCTCTAGAACAACCGATCAAGGCGTTCTGAACTAGATCCCCTCTATCGAATGAGGTTCTCAATTGATACACAGTAGTGAATCAACCCTCGACTAAAGCAACCGATCCACTACTATCAATCTATGGTGCTCTATTGACCTAATCAGGTATTCGCTCTCACAGGATCAAAGCAGAATCAATAATCTCGACTAAAGCATAATTGAATCATGAAAACATGCATAGATTGAATATGAACTCAAGGTTATCAAGTCAGAGTACTCATACAATCATCCAATCAAACAAACATAGCTAGGGTTCCTCAAAACCTAAGTGAAGGGAAGTTACTCCATAGAAAAGAGAGAGACTGCAGTAAGAATCTTCAGATGATCAGTCTTCAAGTCCGGGCTTGTTCCTCGAGCTTCCAAGGCAAAGAAATCCTCCAATTCCACTCTTAGAATGCCCTCAAATCACCCTCTCTCTCTTTGGTTCGTCCCTTGGGTATTTGGGATCCAAAAACCCAGCTCTCCATTTCCTTTGGCTTCAATCTGTCTAAAAAACCCGATTCTAGGCAAAACACGGTCGAGGGCACGACCGTGCTTTGGTTTTGCCTGCCCGTGTTTTGCCCCGTGTTAAAAACACGCCCGCGCGCATCGGCCAAAACACGGTCGTGCCTAAATATGGGCACGGCCGTGTTTTGATTTAGGCGCGCCCGTGTTTTTACTGCCGAACATGTTCCCCTATATTCAATGCTTCGTTTCTCCCTTGTTCGGACTCTGAATCAGTCACCGTTTGATCCCATACGCTCGTAGTCTCGTCCTCTTTATTTTAATGACAAGCTTGAATGATTCTTTGTCCATAAAGTGAGGTAGAAATCCATTCTTCTTTAGGTCATGCCCGAGTTTCTTCTCCCTAATCGCCAATTGATCACTGATTGACTTGAAACTTGCGCCTATGCTTCACTTTATGTGCTAGGACCTGAAATGTGACAAAGGAACACAACCTAGCGTAAAATAGGCCAAAGATGCGATAATTAAAGCTCAAACGATCAAGAAACAAAGGGGAAAACATGTGCAAATATCGAGTCATCACCGGTCTTAATAGCAATTCATTATCCTCTCCTGAGATCGCTGGCTTTACTGCTTCCAGTATCGAGGTTTGACTAGGGACGGTGCCTGCCACAAACAGTTCTGAATAGTAGCTGCACATACACTGTAGGACTCGGTCTGTGCCGACAACCACTCACCATTTTCATTTTTGAGTTTTCGAATCATGTTCCTTTTACGCCGAGCTGAAGCTTTTTTATGAAAAAAAAATTGTATTATGATTTCCACCTTTCAACCACTCTGCCCGAGACCTTTGTTGCCAATACAACTCCTCATTGTCCTCGATCTCTGCCATCTTGCTCTCTAGCTGCATAACTTGGCCAACCACCCCATCTGTTTTTGGCCGCCTTTCTAAAGCACGAATCGCCCTTCATATCTTTTTTTTTTCCTATTCAGAGAACTGAGGAAGGTCCTCCTGCTCCACTCTTCCAGATTAGCTCGGTATGCTTCAATCTTCCCGCGGATATCCATTGAAACCTGTGACTGCCATGCTCCTTTCACCACTTCCGCGCAGTCCTCATGGTTTGCCCATAGAGGTTCAAACCGGAAAGACCACCCCCAACTAGGTTCATCATCTTCCTCTCCGTGCGTGTCACATATGATGGGGCGGTGGTGCGATCGCGATCAGCCAAGATGTGTCAAGCGAAAGCTTGCATATTCTCGTTTCCAGCTCTCCGACCCCACAAACCTATCCAAACTTTCCTCAATGTATGCCCCCTCTCCTTGGCGGTTTTCCCATGTAAAATTGTAGCCTCTAAATCCCAGGTCATGAAGATCCACGTCAATTAGGATTTCCGCAAAATCAATCATGTTGTCCCCTAATCAGACCGACCTCCACTCTTCTCCCTTTCCGATAAAATCTGGTTAAAATTACCCCCACATATCCAGGGCACATTCGGTTGGTTACCCAAGTGTCGAATGAGTTCCCACGTCTTGTGTTTGGCCGAGCTCTACGACCATCCATAAATACCTGTAAACCGCCAAGGATCCCTTCCTTCCTCCTCCACCATCGCATCAATATAATTCGTTCACCATAGCCGGCACTAGCTTCGCTTCCTCCTTCCACCACAAGCTTAGGCCCCCGACCCTCCCTTTTCAAGACAAGTCAGTAGGGAAGCTTCGTCCCCCATCAAAATCAAGTTCCCTCTGCAGCAATTCATTCTCATCACAAGTTTGCTTTGTCTCCATCAGGAAGACAATTTGCGGGGAGACATGTCGCAACAACGACTTTAACGCTTTAACTGCCTGCTTGCTCCCCAACTCGCGGCAGTTATAGCTGAGAATTCTCATTTATGACCTGAAGGGGATAGGTCCCCCGCACCTTTTGTTTGAGCTTTCTTACTTGATTGCACACCCTGTGGTTTGCCGGTGGCTTCTTACTTTTTTCTTGCTTCCCACCTTCAGTACTACTCGTGTCGCCTACGGACGAAATGCTTGTATTCCTAGGATTGGCTAGGGACTGCTCTCCCACTTGGGAAGCCTGCTCGCTATACTCGCTCCCTTTCCCATTATTTTCAATTTTCGGATTACCACGCATTCCTCCAACAGTCACCTTCTCTATCACTTGTTTTTCGTTACTTCCCTGAGGGTTCCTTGGCTCCTGGATTGCATCATCTTTCTTTGTCACACTCTCACTCACAACACTACCCGCTCCTTCCTCAGTTTGTAAGGTTTGCACCTCGGGTAATGGCTCCTTAGGAGCCTCAACCTTCATAATTGTTCCTTCAAGCTCCTCCATAATGATATCCTCATCCACCTCTTCCGTCGTCTCCTCCTCCATATTTTCCAAGTTTTGGAATCTAGATCCATCGCTCGGTTGGTCCAAGCCCGCCTTATCTCTTCCATCACTCGTTCTCGGACCTGTATGAGGAGTTCCCAGTGGTTGGCGTTGACCTCCATTACCCTTCCTATTCTTTGGTCGAGCCACCATCCATTACCCATACGCAAGCTCCTCCATTTCTTCCCTTCCCCCCCGAGTTCCCCTTGTCTTGTTTTTGCATCGGCTGGGTCACGTTCAGCTTCGCACAGTTCTTCTTTATGTGACCATAGCGACCACATTCACCACAAATCAAGTGTAAACCCTCAAACTCTATGTAGTACTTTTTTCCTTCAATTTTGTACTTGGACAGGAGAGGTTTTGTTAAGTCAACTTCAACGCACACCCTCGCAAATAAGTCTAACATGTTAATCACTCGAATAGCTAATTTATTAGAAAAGGTTAGCCACACAATAAAAAACTTGTTTATCAACTTTCAATCAGTTTTTTTTTCTGTAGATAATCATTTAATTGCGGAGTGCTCCGACAAATCATCACCACGCTAGCCTTGTCTTGGCTTTCTGCAAGCTCCAGACCACAGATTAGAAGATGACAATCACCCACATTTATGGAGAGGCAAACTTTCTAGCCAATTTTTTTTTTGGTTTGTAGGAATCACTCTCTGTACTTCGCATATTAGGGGTCGTTTGGAAGTTGCGATTGTTAAATAGATGTATTGTTGAGAATGCATGTATAATATTATACATGTATTGTCGAATTTGATGCATTGTAGAATACAACGTTTGGTATGTGATTGTATGTCGCATCAGCTAAAAGCTGAGACAAAACAATCTCAACTCAACTATCTCAACAAATCACAACTAAAAGTTGAGATACAACAATCACTCAAAGTGAGTGATAGTTTCTGTCACATCATAGAAACAATTCATGTATTATTTCTGCTAAAAAAACAAAAAAAAAAACGATGCATTGTAAACAATACATGCATAATGACAATCTCAACAAAACAATCGCAACTTCCAAACGACCCCTAAATTGTTTGTCTTCTGATCCAATTATTACTCATTGATTTTTATATAACTCTAATAAATGTGTTGTTTCTGCACAATTTATTTATGTTTAAGATGCACAAATGCCTACTGCCTAGCAACTTTTTTGGGTTAATCGCATGGTTGGTTGAGATTATAAAAAACGTTCATGTTTGGTCACTCGAAATATTTAAATCCATTTTTGGTCATTAACTTTACAAAAACCGTTCATTCATGGTCACTCTTCGTTAGCTGCCGTCTAACGCCGTTAACGGCGTCCATTAAGTGATGACGTGGCTGACGGATTCGCCTAATCAACACCTTTTAACCCAAAAATTGACTGACCCGACCCACCACGTCATTTAAACCCTCCATGTCAGCTAAACCTAACCAAACTACTAACCAAACCAGACCAGACCCGGCCCACCAACAAAAACGATCCACCCACCACTAAACAAAACCTAATTTCTAAAACCCTTTAGCACATTCCCCTTCACCATCCCGCGCCGACCCTTCCCCATGTACAATACACGAAAGCTGTTGCAAGCCGCAGTCCACTCTATTTACTCTTCTTTTCTACACGCTCTACCAATTCATTTGCGATTCAGGTTCCTCCTCCACCAGTCATTCATGGATGCCCTGCAACAAATTTGGAGAAAAAATCAGAGGTCAGAATCTTGAGACACTGAAACCCATCTGCGACAGTAGAGATGATATCCTCGCACCCTTTTCTTTCTGCCCTCATCTCATAACATGGGTAGCGTTTAATTTCCAGAGGAAATTCGTTGATTTTATGTTTGAAAAATGAAGGAAACAATTAAAATAAGAAATTGGGATAAACAGGCCAAAAAACAGAGTGTCTCTGTTTTTTAAGAACTTACGGAGCACTTGCTCTGCAGAGAACCTCCTGTAGACATCCTTACACAACATCCTCCTCAGCAGATCCTTAGCCTTAGGCGAAACCGACTGGAAAACCCTCGGCGGGAACCTGAGATTCGCCCTCAACACGGCGTCGAAGATCTCCACCGCCGTCTCCAAGTAAAACGGCGGGAACCCGGCGAGCATTATGTTCAAAACCACACCAGCGCTCCACACATCCACTTTCTCTCCGTAATCCCACCCAGACAAGACCTCCGGCGCGACGTAGTACGGAGTCCCCACAATTCCAGTCGTCGCCTCGCCCGCGACCACCACCTCCGCCGACCCAAAATCCGCCAATTTCACCGAATTCCACGAACCGAACAGCACGTTGTCGGGCTTGATGTCCCTGTGAATCACCCCCTTCCTATGGCAGTGGGAGACGACCGTTATCAATTGGGCGAGAATGGATCTGGCTTCATTCTCCGCAAAGGCGCCGCCGTTGGCGAGAATAAGGGCGTGGAGGTCGGAGTTGGGGTAGAGATCCATCACCATGTGTAGGTGGAAATCGTCCGCGTAGGTTGCGTGGAGCTGGACGAGGTGAGGGTGCGGCGAGACGAGGCCCAGGACCTTGGGCTCGGTGAGGAGGCACTGGGCGTCGAGGGAGTCGCCTACGGTGAGGGATTTGTCGATCGATTTGACCGCGAAGGAGTCGCCGGAGGAGCGGGAGATGCACTTGAAGGCGGCGCAGGATGGAGAAGGGGAATGTGCTGAAGGGTTTTAGAAATTAGGTTTTATTTAGTGGTGGGTGGGTCGTTTTTGTTGGTGGGTTGGGTCGGGTTGGGTTTGGTTTGGTTAGAGGTTTGGTTAGGTTTAGTTGACATGGAGGGTTTAAATGGCGTGGCGGGTTGGGTCAGTCAATTTTCAGGTTAAAAAGTGCTGATTAAGCGAATCCGTCAGCCACATCATCACTAACGGACGCCGTTAACGGCGTTGGACGGCAGCTAACGGAGAGTGACCGTGAATGAACGGTTTTTGTAAAGTTAATGACCAAAAATGAATTTAAAAATTTCGAGTGACCAAACATGAACGTTTTTTATAATCTCAGTGACCAACCATGCAATTAACCCCAACTTTTTTTTATAAGAAAAAACCTTATCGATTTAGAAGTTATCAACTAGCTATCAATTATCTATCTTCTATCTATCTATCTATCTATCTATCTATCTATATCTATCTATCTATCTATCTATCTATCTATCTATACTATATATTATGGCAATTCAAAAAAAATTTCTTGCCACATAAGCACTTGAAGGATCCACAATTTGCCAAGTTGGACAACTTTTTTACAAACAAAAAATTAGTTATTAATGTATTTATGGAGCTACCTCTCTCTTCTTTAATATTTCCATTTCTTTTATCCAATTATTCTTTTTCATTTATCCATTTATTCTTTTTTGTCTTTAATAATAAGTTACATGTTGATAAACTTAACCAAACAAACATAAATAATAATTTTTTTTAAATAAAAAAAATATAAATAAGAAAAAAGAGAGTGACATATATCACATTTATTTAAATAAAAAATATCTGATTAAACCTTATGAAATAAATTTTCTACTCATTTTTAATAAAATTCAATGATAAGTTACATTTTGATGAAAAAATAAACAAATATACACATAAACAATTATATTTTAATCGATTAAACCAAAATATATATGAAAAGAGAGAAAATAAACACTTGTCATTCAATTACCTTTGAAAAATAAACTAAATTACTTTATATTTTGTTGCAATGAAAAACTCTCTTATTCGTACAATATATATATCTATAAAATAAAACAGTATTATTTAGCAAAATGTCATAGTACAATCTTGATCGAGTAGTTACAGTTATTTATTTAAAAAAATTTTCTTATTCATTCAGATCATGTTCTACCTTAAATTCCTCAAATGAAGAGGAATCGCATGTGCAATAATTTGATAATGTGACCTAAGTTCATATTAATAATATTTGCTCTATATCATGTCGATTGAGCAAGCTCTATTGAGGTTCTAAGTCGTATGCTAAGAAATTTTCTTTCAGACTTGGAGTTATCTTCGACGATTATAAATCAAAATTTTCAAAATGACTTAAGTAAGATTGTTGACGAACTTTGACTTCATACCATAGGATGAGACACAAGATTCCTTGAAAAATAATAGATGTGAAGGTTAGAAAAATCTGTGTTCAGAATCTACGATAAACATCACGTTTCATCAACTACTAACATAGGCATTTACCAAATAAAGGTTGGCAATTTTTAGTAAGATCGTCAATTGGGATAAACATATTTATCCAGCAATCAAGTATCTTTATCCAATAATCTCAACTCTTAAAATTGGTTTTCAGTTCGTCTAGACTTGAGAAAAACGAATTAATATATGTTGTATAAGATAATAAGTTATTGCAAATAATCAAATGAAATACACTGATATTGTTCAAATGATAAGACATTTTAAATGCACTTAAAATATGTGTGTATTGGAGACACTCTTTATCAATTATTAATATATAAGCGATAAAATCTTTGACAATTACACATTCAACGACCATGTTAAGACAAAAAATCCTCGATAGTGTGTGTGTGAGTGCCTTAGATTGAGATTCTAAGTCAACATATAAACAATGACCACCGGTTGAGGTTTAGTATAAACTTCAAAAATTAACAATGGATACATATTGTATAATATACTAAATTTAAGTGTCTAGATAAAAAAAACATCCAAAATGGAAATGAGTCGAGATTAGAGAATTTAGTCATCATGAGGGCTACAGTGTGTGTCAAGTTTCAATATGGATGAATAAATCCAATAATGAAGTATCTTTACTAAGAATTTCTCACTAAAAATTCGTAATTTTTACAACATTGGTCGAGAGTTCGTCCAAACTCGAGGATCATGAATGTGTATTGGATTTCCAAAGGACCTAAATCCCAATCCCTTTCGAGGGCTAAATACCTCTGATCACAACCATAGGTGCTAAAGTAGAATGAAAAAGAAGCAAAAAAAAAAGAAGCAAAAAAGAACATAACCTCTGATAAGATGAACATAATAAAACCATATCGAGCTATGATCCCGTCATCCCTACCTTTTTATATATTATATATCGAACAATAGACAACCCCAATGGTTCTCTGGCATTATGGGGGAAAAGCGAGATCTCTAGATAATTTTGAGTGTAATATACACACACACACACATGTAATATGTAATATCAAGGTATACTATACTTTTTATTTAACTCAAGATACGATAGAAGATAGGTATTACGAAGTATGTGCATAAATTAGAGGTTACAGAATTAGGGACTAGAGTTCACCTATTAGAGGTTAGGGTATAGTATAATGCCCCAAAAAAATCTTGTTAATTCGGGTCTAAATAGTAAAACTCAATGGTCGTATGGTAGTATGAACGCAAGAGTATAACGTACTCCTGGCGCACGCTAGCTTGAACTATATATATGTGTGTGTGGTTTAGGTTGGCGTACACTAAATATTAGTGTTTTGGTTGACAAATTTTGACATAAGTTCTAAATGGGACGTGACAGCGGCATAATTTATGATTCGAAAACCGAAGCATCACAAGTGAGTGTGCTAAATATTGGAAATTTCAATATAAACATACTACAAACTCGGTTACAAAATATTTAGAAGATCCAAAATGATTTTAACATATAAATTATAAAATAAATCTCTCCGGCCAACGGGCCGGGTAAAAGGCTAGTTCAATTTTAAAAGTATTACAGAATACATAAGAGAAAGCCGCAAGAATAGAATGTCAAAAAAGGGAAATCTAATTTTCAATGTTCTCGTAAATATCTCGTTAACTTTCAAAAAAGTGCAAAGAAGAAGGAAAAAGAGATTATTTCATGATCATGTTAAGAAGGAGACCAGTCAACTCAGAATCTTCCCCATTACACACTACATGGAGGAGAGGAAAAAGACGCGTTCTTTTTTGGCTTAAGAAATGACATTATTGCAGTCAAACCTAACAAGGATTACAAATACGAATGAAGGGAAGGAAGTATGAAGAACAATCGCGGCTAGCAGCACCAGGGCAGGAAGGAAGGACAGAAGAAAGGGGCGATAGATATTAGATAGATGATGGCTCCATCACCAACTCCCAAATCCCAAGTTGCCCCACTTCCCCTTTCAACCTCCTAAACTTCCCATACTCTTTTACCTACAGTAATCTCTCCCTCTCAATCTCAAACAAGAAGCTTGTACAAAGTCAAAATCCGGAAAATAAAGGGAAAAAGAAAAGGTGGGAACTTTCATAAATTAATCAACACACCCCACGCAAGAATCCAAAACCCAGACCAATCCAACAGCCTAAAGCCCAAAGCTTGTTTTTTTCTCTTTTCTTTCTGCTTATTTTTATGAAAACTAGAGCAGGGAAGAAGAAGGAGAAGGTTGGAATAAGGAGATAGAAACGAGGAAGAGAAGAGAAGAAAAGAAGGAAGGAGAAGAAGAAGAAGATGAGCTTGAAAAACTCCGATGCTCTGAAAACTACCCTGCACAACTCAATCCAAGCTCTGGGTAGGGGGTTCGATGTCACATCTGACATAAGGCTGCTCTACTGCAAAGGTGCTCCTGGGTCAAGGCTTATTCAAATCGATGAGCATCGCACCAGGGATCTTGTGGCCGCCGGCCATGGGGTTGCGCTGCCTAATGCTTCTGTTGATATTGAATGCTCCATGGGGGCGAGAAGCATTGAGAGGATTCCTGTTTGCAGCTTCCATGAGGTCATTCATTTCCCCCTCACTTCCTTTCTTCCCCACAGTTCCGTTTTTGTGTTTATATATAGTATCTAGATAGATTGGCAGAGATTTGTTTGATTGCTTAAAAATTGTCTTGTTTCCTTGTGGATTGTTCAGATTTGGGAAATTGAGTTACTTTGGAACTCAAGTAATTTGCTTTCTCCTTGTTGATAATTACTCTTGCTTCCTCATCTTATGATGGTATCAAGAATTTGAATGCACTAGAATTGTAGATAACTTGTTGATTGCAATTTCCGGGCGGGGCATATGGTAAAGTGGACAGCTGCTTATTTTGACCAATGAATTTGCACTTTGCTGTGGAAGTGAATTGACTAGGTTTAGCATTGCTGTTTCTTGGATGTTGAAGATAAGTCCAAGTCTCTATCTGCCCGCGTAGAAACTTTTACTCTTGTCAGGATCACACAGTAGCTTTAGTTTTTCTTAGTTCTGGAATCCTATGTTGGTGTGGATGTCGACGCAGATATCTTTTTGTCTTATGGTGTGGTGTGTGTAAATGGGTTCCATTTGCTTGATAACTTTTCAGATGGCAGAGCAGTTCAATGAGCAATCCGGTGTATCAGGACGCATACCACTGGGAAGCTTTAATGCCATGTTTAATTTCACTGGTTCATGGCAAGTGGATGCTGCGGCAACAAAATCGCTTGCAATGGTTGGCCATTTCATTCCCCTTTATAAAGTCCAACTAGCAAAGGTGAATTTGATTTTGCAAGAGGAGGTCAAGAAAGCTGTTCCATATTCATGGGATCCTGCATCCTTGGCAAGGTACTGACATTATCATAACATTCAGGTATCACCAATTAGAGATTAGATTGAAAGCATTATAGCATGATAACGGGAGAAATCCTGAGTGACATCTGGGTCTGATTCTCTCTTTCATTTTCCAGTTTCATTGAGAGCTATGGTACTCACATTGTCACATCTGCAACAATTGGTGGAAGAGATGTCGTCTATATCAGGCAGCATCAATCGTCTCCTTTAACAGCAACTGACATTGAAACCTATGTGAAAGACATTGCCGATCAACGATTCCAAGAAAGCCAGACAAATTCCGCCCCCTTGAAATACAAGGACAAGGTTATTTTCACAGCCATACTTGGTTTTAATATTTTGATTGATGAAGATTGGTGGTTTTGCTTGCGAAGTTTGGTTGGGAAAGCTTCATTTGAAGAATTCTATTTGTGTTGCTTCTTCTTGTTATAGATTCTGAGAAATTGTAAAAGCTAAATTTCATGATTGTAGGATGTAACAGTGATTTTTAGGAGGAGAGGGGGTGATGATCTCGAGCAAAGTCATGCGAAATGGGCAGACACGGTTCAGTTTGCGCCGGATGTGATCAACATGACCTTTACACCTATTGCATCTTTGCTTGAAGGAGTGCCTGGGATTAAGCATTTGTCACGGGCAATCGACTTGTACTTGGAATGTAAGTTCTTTTAACTATACCTTTTCTGCAAATCATTTGACTTCAAAACATTCTTCCTTTGCAAGGGTTTCAAAAGACCTGACTGTATATTTGTAGCTATCAATAGCCAAGCGATTTTGAGGAAGTAGTCCATGTGAATCCTGTTTTAAGTTGGCTTTCTACACAACATAACAAGTTTGTCTTAGCCACATGTAATGAATGCATGCAAAGCTTTAGCACCACTTCAGGTTTTATTATAGATACTTTGGCAAAGCCTTATGTATTGTGAACGGATCAGAGAGTTTCTGAATGATATAGCTGCTTGCACGAGAAGTTAAAAAAAAACCCATCTGAAAGCAAACTAGCTCAACTCCATAGTCCTTAACAATGAACTTTGGCTTTCGAAAAGCTCGACCAATGTCATATTCTTCTGTTTCAAAAACTAATCCTTGGAATTGGCATGTGTTTGATCAGATAAACCACCGATAGAAGATCTGCAATATTTCTTGGATTTTCAAATTCCCCAGATTTGGGCGCCAGAGCAGAACAACCTCCAAAGGAAAGAACCTGTTTGTAAATCCCTTCAGTTCAGCTTGATGGGTCCCAAGCTTTACATCAGTCCAGATCAGGTATGGCTTAAACATAATTACATCTATACTTGGCTAACTCATCACATATACAATGCACTCAACATCCTCCCATAAGAACCTGCAGAAGGAAAACCAGACTTTCTCTGTAGAAGGAGGCTGCTATTCTAGTTCTGATTGGCGGGTTTTCCTTTTTTTGGCAGGTAACAGTGGGCCGAAAACCCGTGACTGGACTTAGACTGAGCCTAGAAGGCAGCAAGCAGAACAGGTTAGCTATCCATTTGCAGCATTTGGTCTCCCTCCCCAAAATCCTGCAACCGCACTGGGATGCCCATGTGGCAATAGGTGCACCCAAGTGGCACGGGCCAGAGGAGCAAGACAGCCGTTGGTTCGAGCCCATCAAGTGGAAGAACTTCTCCCATGTAAGCACTGCCCCAATTGAGTACACAGAGACATCGATCGGAGACCTCTCTGGGGTCCACATAGTCACTGGAGCTCAGCTTGGTGTGTGGGAATTTGGCACCAAAAACGTCCTACACCTCAAGCTCCTCTTCTCAAAGGTTCCCGGTTGCACAATAAGGCGGTCAGTGTGGGACCACAGTCCTTCTCCGAACCCTAGTATACAGAGCACAGCATCATCTTCATCATCGTCATCATCAGGTTCCAAGGAAGACAGTTCGAGCCACGCAGGGAAGTTGATCAAGATTGTGGACCCTACCGAGATGTCGAGGGGACCTCAAGATATACCAGGCCATTGGTTAGTGACAGGAGCAAAGCTTGGGGTAGACAAGGGGAAGATTGTCTTGCGTGCCAAGTATTCATTATTGAATTATTAAATTGAATTTCGCTTTTTTAATTTTTTTAAAACTTTAGGATCAGGCATTTGTTTTTCTTCACCCATTTTGTGGGAGGGAGGGGTTCCACTATGTAAGCATTAGTCATAACCGAGCATTCTTTGCACATGTGCCTTCCCATTAGTTCGTTTGTTCTTCTGTACATTTTCAGGGTCAAATTTTGTTTGATTGATTTGTTTCTGCAGTTCCCTGGATCAGTTGCTTGCTTATTACGGTATCCTATTCATTGATAATAATATAGGCCGTTTACGAGAAATTTTACAATGCTATATAGTATTGGTGCTATAGGTTTTTGCTTTTATGGTACAATTTAAAATTGTACATTTACGTTATGGTACAACTTCAAATTGTACCTATACTTTTTGTACAAATTCTTTTATGGTACAACTTGAACTTGTACATTTATGTGATGCTACAACTTCAAGTTGTAAAGTTGTACCATAACATAATGGTACAAATTATTTTATGGTACAACCTAAACTTATACATTTAATGTTATGGTACGACTTTGAGTTGTACATTAAAACACCAATGCTATATAGCATAGTAGAAGTGCTCGCCGTTTACATGTTCTAATAAAATGTACAAACTACAAAGTTAGTTCACTTTATAGCAGATAATTGCTGGGCGTCTAGAATGTTAATTTTGTTGAAGCCGAGTAGAAATCCTCCACTGGCCCTGAAGGGAATCACAATATTGGCATACTTTCTGGCTTCTGCATGCATCAAAGTGAGCGAGTGGAATTGGCAAGCGATTGATCACTACTTGCTAGGGTTGGAAATTGGGTTACATGAACTACATTCTACAGTTAACCATTTAGAATTATACTTCTCACAACTCGCACTGCAGTAGGTAGTGGTTAAAAACTACTATTATGGTTTGGTGTTGTTTGGTTGTGGATACCCACAAAATTTTTATTATTGAATATAGTAATATGGTCACTAAATGAAACATACAAAAATGAAAGTTATTGAATTGTTAAATAAACTATAAATCGATTATTTCCTGACGACACTTTATTTATAGTGTTTATCACTCCGTATTTGATACATTTTTCTCTTCTATCAATGCATTTTTTAGTGGTTTTGACTATATTTCATATGGAGTTCATAACTATTTGGCTAATGTGTTTATCATACAACTTGAGTGTGTTTATGTACTATTTTATGTACTACAAATTTAAATAATTTTTCTCTCTCTTTACTTTCTCTTTCTACTTTTCCTCTCAACTTCCCAAGTGAGAACCGAAACATACTTTATGGATCTATCTTCAATCTCCATAATTTCCAGTTCCTAATTGCTAATTGGTACCCTCAACTACTCAGTCATCATCATCATCATCATCAATGGAAGATTTCCTACAGATACACAAAGTACCATGGAGCCCCAACAATGGGCTGGACGAGAAGATGGGTGGCAGAAGATCTAAATGAAGAAAAGACTTACATCTACTTTGTGATCTCTACAAGCAAGAAGAGATACATTAAATGGAAAGAAAAGAAGCATAATAGCAGCAGAGTATTGATTAACCTTGAGATTGCTCAGCAAGAAAATCTGTTGAATGTAAGGCTGGATTCTGGAAACATTCAATACCCCACCCCTACTTACTCCTACTGGCAGTTCACAACCATACCAACTGCATTAAGTGCAACACTATATTACACGAACTGGGTTCTACCTGCAAATTGCCTTGCCTTTACATCTCACCCCAAACCAACAGCCTTCTCTTAGTCTCACTCTTCCCTGCGCACCAAATATATTACTCTTACTCGATTGTTCATCTCTTCTATCAAATGGCAAACTTGGGACTTTCAGACCTCCTACAAAAAACAGAATCCCTGAAAATCTCAGACAATATTCACAGATTCAAACCAAAAAAAGGTCCTAATGAGAGGAAAACCAGCGAGATCCTAGTGGGTAAGATGATCACAGACAAAAATTATTAAGCATACACAATGGAGATTACTCTTGGAAGGAACTGGAAAGACATCGGTCAACTATCGATTGTGGAGGTGGGTTTGAATAGGTTTGCTCTCACCTTCAAGTCTGTTGCTGATAAACTCAAGATCTGGTCCCATGGAAAATTGCTGACTCCCTGCTGGTGCTCAAAGAATGGAAGGGGAAAGGGAAAGTGGTGGTGGAGGAGTTAGATTTCAACAAGACAATCATATGGACCCAAGTCCACGACTTCCCGGAAAATCTGAGATTTGAGGAGAATGTTGCTACCTCGCTGGATGAAATCTTCAAAGAGGTCATCAGAGGAGATGAGATGGGAGTTGCAGAGGGTCAATATGTCAGCTTCAGCAGAGTGCTTGTTGGTATTGATCTAGCTCAGCCGCTGCCGCCTGGTTTCTATCTCGAAGACGACTCCCCACCTGACATATGGGTAGAATTCATATATGAGAGGCTGCCTGCCCAGGTATGCTACACTTGTGGAAGAATCAGCCATAATCAGCTCACCTGCAGATTCCAATCTGAGAAAGTGGAAGGAAGATATGGAGACTGGATCAGGGTTGGACACCATGCCCCTGATTCCCCGATGACGCTATCTCAGAAGAAGACTCTGGGAACGGCCGAAAGCAAAACCGATGACAATTTCCTCACCGGCGACAACCCCTTGACCGGAGGAAGATCAATAGACAGACTGCTGGATGATAGACTTTCTGGTGGGAGTGGGTCCCAACGGAGAGAGAACAGGAAAGGAACCTCCCAAGAAACCATCAATACCTTCTATGTGTGCAACGGCTCTAATGTCAGGAGATCCTAGGGAAGCGCTCCGACCACCCCCTGGATTTGCCTCTCCAACACCGGCTGATACAAAAGGTAAAGCAACAAGACTGAAGGTGGCGGCACATGTCTCGCCATATCAACCAAGAACCCTTTTCAAGGAAGAGGACGGCAGACAGGGTAATCAAGAACAGTTTATGCAGGCTATGGGCCAAGGCTCCGGGGCCCAATCTTACCCGCAGCAATACATGGGCTTGAATAGCCCATCTCCTCCCTTTCCTTTCTACGACCAGATGGGCCAGGGAGACTTCCTCCCAAGCCCAACTTACATGAACATGTGGAATAAGAATGGACTCATTAAGCCAGGCCCAGTCTCCCCTCCTGTTTTGGGATAATAGGCAGATCGAAGCCCAGTACCTTAGCCCTTGGGGACTAAAACAGGAGCAGCCTAGGAAGAAACTGAAGGCAAACAGAAAAAGGAATTCTAGAGTATTTATCAAGGAACACAGCTCCCTTCAAGCTCAAGGCAGCGACAAAGGAGAAGAAACAGAAGACACAAATGCTGGTAAGGTGGAGATGGCTCACCTAAAGCCATCAGGGGAACCATGACCACACTTTGCTGGAACTGTCGTGGTCTTGGTCCGGACACGACAGTTAATCACCTTAGGGACATCCATAGGTCTTTTAGACCTATCATAACTTTTCTAATGGAGACAAAGCAACAAGAAAGCTACATGGAAGTGGAGAGGCGTAGAGCCAAATTTTACAACAAGTGGTATCATAACCCCATGGGGAGTAGGGGCGGTTTAGCTTTATGGTGGGTTAAGGGCCTTGAGCTCAATGTAATTGACTCTTCGGATTATTTTGTTCATGCTTTTGTTAAATTAGGTAGTGGCTTTTTCATCACTTTCCTCCATGCCCCTAATGATCTTAGTGAAAGGAGGGCCTTTTGGGAGGAAATTTCTAGATTTAAACCTATTAATAGTAGTTCGTGGCTTTTGTTGGGGGATTATAATGCGGTGTTGAGGGATAGCGAGAAACTTGGAGGAAACCCTCCTAGAAGAGTCTCAACTGAACCCTTTAAGGATTTCGTGACTAATAATGACCTTCTGGAAATTGACTCTAAAGGGCCAAAATACACCTGGTCGAATATGCAGCAGGGGACTAGGAAGCTGCTTTGTCGACTTGACAGGTGCTTATGTAACCTGAAGTGGAGAGAAGATTTCCCTGATGCTTTCATCTTCAATGAACCAATGGTTGGTTCTGACCATTGCCCGCTTCGGTTGGAAATTCATGGAATCAAGAAGTCCCGAAATGCTATCTTCCGTTTTGATCAAAGATGGCTACAATACGAAAACTGTGGCACCATAATTAAAGAGATTTGGGCTAAGGGAGGTAATCATCGAGACAACTTTTCGGAATGCAGAATGGAGCTTCAAAATTGGGCAAAAGTAAACATACATAATGCTGCAATTAGAATCAGAAGCATTAAAAGAAGGCTTGAAGAGATATCAGACTTAACTCATGACCCTCTATTTGAGGAGGAGGTAAGAACCCTGGAAGCTGAGATCATCAAACTTTGGATTGAAGAGGAAATTTTTTGGAAACAAAGGTCTCGAATACAATAGCTGCATACTGGGGACTGCAACTCCAGATTCTTTCACGCTACTACTATCTAGAGAAGCTTACGTAACAATGTAGCAAAGCTGATGGATGAGAACAATGATTGGATTGAATCTCATACATTGCTTCAGCGACATGTGATGGACTTCTATTCTGGATTGTTCACAAAAAGAGATGCAGTGAGCAATGATGAGTTAATTCACATCATCCCCTCGGTGGTTAATGACCTCATGAACTCGACACTCTGCAGACCGGTGGATGATACTGAGATTAAATATGCTGTGTTTGAGTTGGGATCAACTAAGTCTCCTGGACCTGATGGTTTCCCAGGAATCTTCTACAAGAATTATTGGGAAACTGTTGGCAGCCAGCTTTGCACGGAAGTGAAGAACTTCTTTGAGAATAACTCAATGCCGCAATATTGGAATGATACACATTTGATCCTCACACCAAAAGTGGCAAGCCCGGAAAGAATTTCCTAGTTCAGACTGATTAGTTGCTGTAACTTTTGTTACAAGGTCATCTCGAAGGTTCTAACTTCAAGATTGTAGCAATGGATGCCTACCATTATCTCGGAGATGCAAACAGCCTTCGTGGGAGGCAGGGCTATCCAGGACAATATCATCATTGTTCATGAAGTTCTGCATCATTTCAAGACCAGACCCAAAGGAGGCAACTGGGATATGATGATCAAGTTTGATATGAAAAAAAGCATTCGACATGGTCGAATGGGACTATTTGGAGGATATCGTGAGTGCAATGGGGTTTGCTGACCAATGGTGTGTCTGGATAAAGGAATGTGTGCGAACCGTGCGTTTCTCTATCATCTTCAACGAGCATCCCTCCCCTTTCTTTCAGCCTACGAGAGGAATTCACCAGGGAGACCCTCTATCCCCTCTTC